CCAAGTTTGGGTTCATTGAGAACTTTGATCTCTTGCAGCACATTCTATGGAATCTACGGTGGTGCAGTTGGATGTTCAGCTACTCACCAAAGAGTTAGCGGTTTAAATCCACTCAGAATCTAGTGATCTGTTTAAAACCATCAGAGCCACTGAAAATTCTATGGAGCACTCTGATATACTTAGGTTCACCATGAGTCAGATTTGATGGTAACTAGTTCGAGTTTACAGAGCTTTGGTGACATAGTCTGTTAATGTCAGAGAGAGCTGCACTGCTAATCTAAAGGCCAGAGTTTTCCAGTGCTCCAAATCCACCAGCTGCTTCTGTGACAGCGTGATGGCAATGAGGGAGTGTATTTGGTTTTGTGGTTTAATCCAGTATTATGAAGTAGATTCTGATTCATAGTAACCCTCCATTGCGTTTCTGAGACCATAAATTCTTAAAACTACAAATTTTTACAAGAGTTGATTGATCATCAGAGCCACTGATGGATCCAAACAACTATCTCTAGGTTAGCTACATAACATGGGTTATGCCCCCAGGGTTTGTCTGAATTTGTTATAGGGTTTTTTAATGGTTTAACACATTCCATTGTGTCCTCTTTTATAGCTGACTTGTATTATGCTTTTTCTCTTACCTTCTTCTCCTTTTCTTTTCTCCATGACCACACTTTCATATGCCCTAAAAAGCAGAAATTCTTATTTTTCCCTTCAGTTGTAAATTCATTAAGCTGTGAATTTTAAGCCAAATTTCCCTGCAGTCATCATAAGCCTGTCTTACCTGAGGGTCATGAAGCTGTAGCCTCATGTCAAAGAATACATCTTGTTTCCCAAAGCTACTTGTGCAAAGCTGGTAGAGACATTGGTTATTTATGTCCATAATGCTTGTGGTCGATTTCAAGTTATAGCCATGATTCCAATAAGTGTTTCAATTGTTCTTCCACGTGACAAGGGGATGTGGAGGTACAAGTAGACAGGAGCTCTAAACTTTCAGATGCCACTGATTTCCTGCTATCTCTAGTATGCTTCGTCATTTAAATCTAAACCTTTAGGGAAAATAGCAAAGCAAAGCACCACCTTTGATTGACTGTGCTGAATGAATTTTAAATAGGTTGTAATCTAGGCTTTAAACATTACCCCCATAATATTTTTGACCCATGTTAAAAGAAGCAAGTATTTTAAGAAAATGTTTCTGGGAAACTGCATTTGAAGCAATGCATGAGCTGAAGCCAAGACTAAGGCAGTGCTGAGGAAATCTGTTACCCTGGGATACTAATTAACTCCAAATATTGCACATAATTTAAGCCAGCAGCTTTGAAAAGAAGCTGGTTATGGGAGAGGAAAAGCTAAAGAAACTTCAAAGACTGTCTTTTTGTTAGTGACCAACTGGGCACGGGAGGTACAGTCTCTCTCTGCCCCAGTGAAACTCCTTTTTCTAGTAGCTTTCACCCCTTCTCTTTCCCTTCATTTTTCTTTCTTCACTACTGTTGTTTTTGTTATGTTTCCTCAAGTGAAATCTGACCCAGAGCTGACCTCCCAGCAGGTTTTCAGAAGCAGTAAATTTCACAAAGATTACCTATCTTTCTCCTTCAAAGCAGCTAATGGATTCAAACATTGTGCCTTTGGGATGGCCATGTAGCTGCTTATTACTAAAACTCTGGTAAGTGTCATAAACTGGACAATCCAAGCAGAAAAAGATATTGTACATACAGGGATGTTGGACTATTAGCTTTCTACATTAGAAGGCACTCTAAATACACAGGTGTCACAATAATGAACTCAAGTATACCAACAACATCAAGAATACCAACAACACAAGGAGATGGCACAAGACTTGGCAAAGATTTGTTCTGTTTTACATGCAAAGCAGAGCTTTCAGCAGGAGAGAAGAAGACCCTCAACAAGATGAGCTGACAGTGACTCCAACAAGTGGGCTGGAACATGGTGGAGATCATGACGACAGTGCAGGATAGGACAAGGTTCCAATTTGTTGCTCACAGGATCACTTACAAGTCATGGTCAACTCAACGGCACCTAAACAACATGGGGTTATCATGTTACAGAGTCAATTCAATAGCAGCAAACACATTAGAATAAAAAGTTGACCTCTTTTTTTCCACTCAGTAACTATTTAAACCTATGGATTCAGTCTGATTTGCTCCTTTTAATTTGGACTACTGTGTCCTAGAAACAGACATCATGCTTGGAAAAGTAGAGGGTCAGAGGAGAGGAAGATCTGGGTGATACAGATTGACACAACGACTGCAACAACGGGTTTGAGCACAGGGAAGGTTGTGGGGGTGGTACAGGATTGAGCAAGGTTTAGATCTGTTGTGTAAAGGGTCACTATGTGAAAGAGTCAACTCAACAGCACCTGACATGGTATTGGAAAACATACCTTATCAAAATCATACCTATATCAAAATCAGGTTGTCTCTCCTTGTGAAATTAAAGTGTCACGGTTGTGAATTCTGAATTCTGGCCTTCAGCTTATTTGCCAACCACTAATGTCTATTCCTCCAGAGCTTTTTCCGCCTCCTGCACCCATTCTACTCATTTGAGTATATCTCTAGGCAAAAGAGTCAAACTTTATAAAATCATTGTTTTGAATCAGCTGTTGCTTAAGAATGAATTCTCGAAAGGGTACGCTATCGGTTTTCAGAGGTTACATGGTTGTAATAGGTGGAGTGAGCAAGGAGAAAAGTGTGATATCATTCCTTTTATAAAAGCAGATCCCCTTTTTAAAGAAAACGTCTGGAACAGTACTGCTTCCTGTATATGGAAAGGACAATGGAAAAGACACTGAATTAAAGATAAGAAACTTCATGATCCAAAGGGATATATTTCTGGTTCTTTTTCTAGGTATAACCTTGGAAACCTGTTTCAATTCTCTAGTCCAGTCTAACTCTGTCTTCAGTCAAATATGAGAATAGTAATATCCACTTCCTAAACATTATGCCTCCAGAAACTCAGTGAACTTTGATAAATGTCGATAGTTGTAGAGGGGCTTCAGGCCTTTTGTTTGTAGAGTCACTATGAGTCATGCTCAACTCAAAGGCAATCAACAACAACAATATATGTTCTATTTCACAGAATGGTTTGAGGAAAAATAGTACAACATGTCATAAATATACTAATGTTCTATAACAATATTGCTCTAATAAATCTGAGCAATAGTAACCTATGTTCTTTTATGGGAATGACTCAAGTGTCTACTCAGATATTCAACCTACTTCAGGTTCCAAAAGTACAGATTCAAATGGGAAGTAGAGAATGACATTGCAAAAGTTTCAAGGGAAATGAAAAGTTATCTAGCATAATGTCTCCATTATACAATGGCCTCAGAGAATCTGGCTTTCCATGAGCCCTGGAGTCACCATGGAGTCACTGAGCTTGCTCTACCAGAGTCTCTGCTTCTTTAAGGTCAATAAGGACCAATGTCAGTTCACTCTATCTACGGCCAAGAACCACAGATGTGGGAAAGCAACACCGAGTAACTCAGATTAGATGACACAGAAGACAGAGCCAAACTGCTCTGTGGCCATCAAGCTGATCAATTCATGGAAACGCATGTGTATCTGTTCATATGTGTCAGTGTAGACCTGCTCTCTACAGAGTTTTCAATGGCTGATATTTCAGAAATAGATCACCAGATCTTTCTTTTGGGGTGCCTCTGAGGAGACACGAACCTTCAACTCTTCAATTCGTATCTGAGCTTATTAACCATTTACAACACCCAGAGACTCCTCTGGGGGTTTACCTTCCCTCATTTTCTTCTTGACCTCTCCTTGATAAAGTCAGTACTGAAAAACATGCTTCCTATTCATCTAAGAGTTAGATGGTAAATAAGGATGAAAGAAGAATCAATGCTTTTGAATCATAATGTTGGCAAAGAGTATTAAATATACCGTAGACTGCCAAAGTTAACAAATCTATCTTGAAGGAAGCACAATCGGAGGACTCCTGAGAGTCAAAGATAGTGAACCTGTATCTCATTTACTTGGGGCATGTTTTAATGAGGAACCAGGCCATGGAGAAAGACATCAGGCCGGGAAAGGTAGAGTCAGTGAAAGAGGAAAACCCTCAATAAGATGATTGATACAGTGACTACCACTGTACTTCAGTGGACTTGAGCATGACAGAGATCAAGAAGATGGGCAGGAGAGGGCAAGGTTCAGATATGTTGTTCATATGGGCACCCTGAATCGTAATAGACTCATAGTGGAATCTAACAACAACAATTTTATAAACACCTAGAATCTGTTGATAGATCAATTGGGCAGCATCATAATATTTAAGGAGATAAACATATGTTAAGACCAAGTGCCAATTTAAAGTGTTATTATTTCTGGTGTGCTTCTTCCTATCCCCCTTGCCAAGAATGAAGATAAAAATATAAGGAAAAAAAGAAAAAAAGTAAAATGGGGAGAGTGAAGTACACAATAAAAGAAAAAAAATATATCTAAGTATAATCCTAATAGACCAAGAAATCTTCCTAATGACAAAAGATTCATTCCAAATTGGGGCTAGTTGTGATGCAAATGCAATACATTTCATGGCCCTCAAGTCCATGGTCTCAAGAATGCAATCATCAGAAGTTATTTTTTGTTTTGATTTCTATTGCAACTTGAAGCATTCCTTGATGACAATAATGGTTATGATCAGTTCAGGTAATCCAAACCAAGGGAAAAAACACTGGGAAAACAAAATATTTTCTCTAATCTAGCAACACCTACTGAACAACATGTTTGCTGCATATTTATGAGTTGTAGTTCATGGTCGTGGAAAATCCATTATATTATAAAAAAAAAATTGTGCGTTACTTTGTTTATATGGCATGCCTTTTCTTCTCAAGGAAAAAAAAATCTACCATCCAGCAAACAATGGAACTGAGATGTGCAGAGATGTGGCAGCCTGTTGTTCTTTTTCTTTTTTTTTTTTGTCCCCAAATAAAAAATAAAGTAATAGCATCATTGAATATCCCAACAAGATCTCAGTCCAATTCAAAATTCATCTTCAGAGCTGTCGGCTAACAGCATTACTCGATCTTGCATGCCGTTGAATTCTCTCTGCTGGAGAAAGAAAAGAGAAAAGCATGATTAAACTCTGCCACAGAGAAAAGCTGATCAACAGGCCCATTTGAAAAGACACCCTAGCAAACAAGGGTGAGGAATCAGCTGCAGTTGCTAATCCAAACCACTGGGCACCTCGATACTATTCATGCGTCATTAAGCCCCGTGTGCTTTATTAAGCAAATTCGATAAGCAGAGAATGTTCCAAAACTAGTTAGCTTTTACTGTTGTTGGTTCCATACCTTTCTTTTATGCCTTTTGAAGCCATTTCTCCGTCGGCGATTCATAACCTTGATGCTGTAGAGGGCTCCCAAGATGAACAAGGCTCCAGCTATCCCAACTCCTACAGGTACCAGCATCCCAGACATGTAGCTAGCCTAAAGAGAAAAGGAAATATGCATTAGGATATCCAAAAGGCCAGTGCCCTGTGTTTCCCATTCTTGTTGGATTGCAACAGGTTTTCAGATACTCTGAATCTGCCTGTTTCCTTAGTTGTAAAATAAAATGGCACCTGAAACTCAGTTTATGTTTTGGGAACAAGGCAACTGAGACAGATATGTGACTATTCCTGGGAATTTCAAAACATTAGACATATTGGAACAAATCCACCAGATCTACCGGCACCTGCAGTAACTTGCATATTCACAAATGTAATTTCTATTAAGATAAACAATAAAGCCCAGGTCATTGCTAATATCTTTTAGAGTGATCCAAAATCAGAGAGACAGAGAATAACAGTTTTCCAGAAAGTGCTGGAGTTCACAGGTTGTGGGAAGCTTTCCCAATATCTGTAGAAGCACATCAAAGACCTGAAAGTAGACTGTTAGTGAGGTCCAACTCATTGTGACCCCAGGCACAACAGACTGAAACACTGCCTGGTCCTACACCATCTTCATCATTTTGGCTTTGTTTGAAGGCATTGTTGCAGCCACTGCATCAATCCATCTAACGGACTGCCCTCTTGTTTACTGCTGCCCTCTACTTTACCAGGGATAATGACCTTTTCAGGAACAACTGCCTCTTGGTGACATGCCCTAAGGATGTGAAAAATCTCCCCATCCTTCCTTCTAAAGAGTAGCATTGGCTGAACTTCTTCCAAGATAGAATTGCTTGTTCATTTTACAATCCATGGTATATTTAACATCCTTTGCCAATACCATGATTCAGATGCAGCAATTATCCTTTGGTCTTCCTTACTCATCAACCATCTTTCACAAGCACATGAGGCAACCAAAATGCCAGGACTTGGCTCAAGTGCACCTTAACTTGATTTTAGGTTGGACTTTACAAAACTGTAGCACCCTCCTCAGAACCACTCACATACTGGTCTGGCTTCTGTAGCCTCATTAGGGCACAGAATGTAAATTTTTCCATTATTTTGAGAATAGTAGAATTGTTTAACAGCATACTAAGTGTTTTCCTCCAAGAAACAAACCCTAGTTGTCTTTCAACAAATCAATATACTTTGTGGAAAACTAAATGGTCAATGATGGCAGCTTGAGGACCAAGGTGTATTTGATTCAATAATTTGCTATGCATGTAATCTAACAGCCGGACTACGAATAAAGATGACAGAAGAATTACTGATGTCTTTGAGTTATGGTGTTGTAAAAGAGTGCTAAATATCCCATGGACTGCCAAAAGAACAAACAGACATGTCCCAGAAGAGGTGCAACCGGAGTGTTCCTCAGAGGAAAGGGTGGTAAAGTTTTCTTTCTTACTTTGGACATATTGCTGGAAGAGGCTACTCCTTGGAAAGGAATCATGCTTGGAAAGGTGGAGAGTCAACAAAAGAAAGGAAGATCCTCAATGAAGTGGACTGACATGCACTAATACATCCAAGTATATCAGGGATGATGAGGACGGCTCATGATAGGACAGACTTCCACTTGACTTGATGGCTCCTAAAAACAACAAATGGTTTTCTAAAGTTCTTCCAGATCTATCTAGTTAAGGGTTCTAGGAAATCCCTTTAATTTTCCACATGGAAAGATACTGGACAACAGCAAAGTTCTGGTGCTCTGATAAGAATTGTGAATATTTTTCTTTATATTGCCCCTTCTCAGTTCTTTAAAAAAAATGTTTGTTTGCTTACAAAGTTTGCATATATACATTGTATTTCACACTAGTCTTCATTCACATTGTGTTTCATGCAATCATTCCCATGCATTATATTTTATAAAATTAATCACCATTGGGTCTTGCCCATCATTAGCCTGTCTATTCAGTCCCCCCTAAATCCTCTGCATTTATTTCACCCCCTCCCTCTACTCACCAAATTGTGCAACCTGTGGTTTCATCGCCACCCATCTTCAATCCTCTGCTCAGAATAAAGCAGGTTGTTGATGAGTCTATATCCAATCCTGATGCCACATTTCTCCTCATAGAGTCCA